GCAAACTAAAGTTCGACACGTTTTCTTAGATGTATTCCTAAAGCGGGTAAAAATAGATAATAGGGGATTTACAGAATACGCCTAAACCATTTGTTTCCCTCAACAACACTCTTTTACTTTCAACTAAGAAAGACGGTTCAAGAGGCGGGGTGAGTATTTTTTCAAGACTCCTGCGGAACACGTGGAGACGTCTAGACAGCCGGGGGGATGAAACTGACAAGCCTACACTGGAATGTGGGGGCTGGGCGGTGCCATTGTCTCAAAATGAGTAATTTGTAGGCAAGACTACTGTAAGTCGTTTATTTTAGTGACCCTGTGTATGCAAGCAAAGATCGGTTTTTAATATAGAGCCCAAAGAGAAAAATAAAACTTTTTTATTACGCCTACTGGGTAAAAATGTTTTGGAAAAAAAATGTTGTCCCTGGCCTGAAGAAGTGCTATGCCAAATGTTATGGGCAGAGATAAATTCCTCGATGTATCAAAGTTTTTTTTAACGCGGTCAGACGAACGTGAAAAAGCTATAATGTAATTACTACACGTATATTTTTCCCATGACTGGGACCAGTGTAATATCCACAAGAACACTGACTGTTTGACGTTAACGGGTACCTCTGCAGTAATAAAACATGTTAAAGTAAGATGTATCCCATCATTCAAAACGTACTTGACCTTTTACGCACTTCCGGGGTCTCCAGTTTCAAGTGCGGCCATATTTGGGTTGATGTATGCTTTCCGGGAAGCTGAGAATGTTTCGGAGTGTTCTATGGTCTGCTGGGGTAATAATATAGTGTAAAGCGCATAGAGCCTGCTGCTGAGCGGGGATATGCGCTATACAAATGCTATCTATTATTATTATTATGTGACTTCATACTCGAAAGGCACACTTTTTAAATTCAAGAATTGGTGGGGGATGGGGATTATTATATTTCTACCTTGGCACAATATGCGAATGTACTCCATTGATCGTTCGAAATCTAGAAAATCTTTGTGGGTAGTTGGCGGGCGCTCAGGTTTGGTCTGCTACCTTTTTTCCCTATCAAACATCTTTGATCCGTATCTCTCCTTCTATTGTTTTCTTTGTAGGTTACTCTATAGTAAAATGTCTAATCTTCTAAACTGAACTATAATAGCATTAATTTGAGTAGTGCAATTTCCCGCTCAATCATAAATTCTGTGAGCTTTACAATCTATATCATAGCTATTATTCCAGTAGACCTGAAAGCAATCTGAAACAATCTCAACCGCCTGGGAAGCATACAGTGCAAGCTGTATTTTACAGGCACTAATCTCTTTGGCTGTCTGTCTATTAAAACATTCTTTCTCTTTTCCCATTCAGATCTCAAACGCCATGACAAGCAATGCTGGAGCTTACAAGTGTAAGGTCACCGTCGGTTCTCAAGCCTCCAGCCACAGCCCCGCCTTAACCATAACCTATTCTGCCAGTAAGTCACTTTTGTTAGCTCTTTTTAATACTTAATATTCGCCACTTTTCCACTTTGCTTAAATTTGAACTTATTGTCTCTTTCTTTCCCGACCCCCCCCCCCTCCACCCCCCAAAAAAAGAACCTCTTTCCTCCGAATGAATGAATGAATGTGTGTGTGTGTGTGTGTGTGTGTGTGTGTGTGTGTGTGTGTGTATGTGTGTGTGTGCTTTTCCCAAGAACACAATGTCGGGCCACTGACGGGATTCGAACCCACGACCTTACGATTGCGAGTCTGAGAGCCTAACTGCTAGGCCACTGACGCTACGGGTCTTCCACTAGGTGACCATCCCCGTCAATGTCGACTGTATTGCATACACTCCTACTTTGTTCTCCTCCGCAGCAAAGGGCCTGCCTTGTACAGCTATAGCCACCTGTAGTTCTCAGGACATGACGGCCTACACAGGCAACTGCATCGCTGGCTACTGTGAGTGTGCTTCTACAGGCACGCTCAACGCGGACGGATGCAGTAAGTCTTTTGGTTTTTTAAAATTATTTTATTTGTTGTTTGTTTTTTCCGTGTTTGTTGTCTGTTTTTTCTTTTTTGGGGTTTTTTTCTGCTGTTATTTTGGCAGGTGG